TATTGAGTTTTTATTGTGTTTAAGGTTATTTCACATAGAATCTTATTATTTTAGGGCTAAAGGGGGGTTTGAACTAATTTGGTCATACCTCCTTAGAGTTGTGTGTGAAGCAGCAGCGGCCCAGGCAGGTGTCTCGTAGCTGACTCTGGGCACATGAAGGGCACAGGAGAGTCAGAACCCAGAACTCAGGACTCCCACCTGACAATTCACTTTCTTTCCATCTGACCAAAAGAAAGGAGCAAAGCCTGCTGGGATGCCTGCCCCCTTCCCATTTTCACCACCATTTCTTTATCAGCAGGTTCTGAGGAGCACAGGTCATTAGACAATGAAAAATACACAGAAGGAGAGAATGCAGTTGGGGAGGAGGGGATAAAAACTATCTTTTATACAATATTTGAAGAAGCAATTGGTTATAGTATTTGAAACTCTAGTAGGTACCCCGGGCATATGCACGAGACCAGATTTTGTATGTGTTTAAGAGAGAAAGTGTACGAAGACTAATGAACAGGCCATGAACTGATTCATGAAATATCAAGTATGGAATTTGTAACAAAGGATAACTTTGACATTCAATAGTCATTTATGATGCTTTTATTCTGTAAGTCTGCAGCCCTATGGATTTTTGTAGGAAACAAAATACTCATCTCTTTGTTTAGGGATACTAGATTAAATATTTTCAGAAAACAAACGAGATATTTCAATGGAAATTCTTGCCTAATATGTCACCACTTTGAAAATGATTAAAGAAAATGGGGTCTCCCCCAGCACAGGCAGGTACTTTGACTTGTCAAATTTCAGTTGGACATTTTCTCTTAGTTTGGAACTGCCGCAAAATGAGCCCTTTCATGTCCTCAATAATACCAAACCAATGCAACCCATCTGTTCTGCTAAATTATTTCTAGTTCCCTAACCAAAGGCACTGCTTTTTCATGCATTTTATCATGATTTTATGCCCTTTATTATATTTTACAAAAGGTTCTGATTCCTCGAGGGCCAATGAGAACTGATTAGGACACTGGCCTCAATCCAGGCTTTGAACACAGGAGGGGAAGGAATAGAACTGTTTCCTTTTTTCCCCTGTGCCTTGGCAGGAAAAAAAACATGAATCTATACCGTGTGTGTGCTCTGTGTGTGGGTGGGTGTGGGTAGGCTGCATTTCATCCTGCCACAGTATGACTTTGTAGACCATGTTCAGAAAATTCCTACTATAATCAGGTTGCATTAATGGGCTTTATTTCAGAAAAAAACTATTTCTCTAGGAAAAAAAAACATGGTGTCTTGTGAGACTCTATGATATGGTTGTTTTAAGCTACTTGGGTCGAAATTCAAAAGGGAATGTAGACTGGGGTTCTGAACAGAAGAAGCTTCCCAGGTGCCTACACAGAGTAGGCACTGTGTGCACACAAGTTCCTTTCCAGCTGTCCGGAAGACACTGCCCAAGTGGGAGTCACAGAGAATGGAAATTTCATAGTGCATGCATCCTGCATGGTAGGGTTTCTTTATTAAGAACATGAAAGAGGAGCTATAAGCTTTCCTTCCCAGGCCTATGTTAGTAGCTAAATAGTTAAGACCTGCATTTGGGTCTCAAGTCAGATTTCAAGAAGTACTCAAATGAGTACTTCTCTTCCATGTGTTGTGTTTCCAGAGGTACTCAGAATTCTCAAAAAGCCTTTTGGTGAGAAGCATGGATGACTGTAGAGAGACATCCTGCAGACTAAATATCTCTGAGAACGGAAACCACTATCTCCCTAAATTACAATTATCACAGCACTTTATTCTACTTTGTGACTCATGATGCTGTTGACCTTTGACTTAGAAGAGCATCGTGAGAGAGAAATGAAGGGGAAAAGGGTACACGGGAAACAGAAATATGGGAAGGGATTAAATAAAAATATCTAGATTTAAAGAAAGACACGTAACATAACAAATAGCTCATGATGATACCAGAAAATGAAAACTGTTGGAGACCTCACGGTGAGAGGGAAGATGAAATTGACAAACCTGAGACAGCTGGTAACAGCGAGGCCACATGGGAGGACTCAAGGAGACTCCACCAGTTGAGGAGGGGGAGATCTGTGGCCATTTCAGACTTTGTAGCTGAGTCATCCTTCAGGTTGCCATAGCAGGGCCCCTGTGAGATATAAATCTCAAAGCATCCTTTCTCCAGATCTTTTTTCTAGGTAGAAACATTTTTCATATTGTTGTTTTTTCCCACAGCTCTTTCTGTAGAAACATATGTGTCCTGCTTGTGGGTCTTACTCTCCAGCAGCCATAGAAGCAGAAGGTGCTTGTTAAAAATAAGTATTCCTTATATTGAGTGTAATTATTTTTTAAAGAAATGTTTCATAATAATAAAAAGAGCAAGTTCTTTCTGGAAGTCAAAAGGAAGTAAAAAAGGGGAAAAAGTGATATCACAGCATGAAAATAAACTTACATTTTAATAGTGAGAAGGAGGACAAGAGTGTAAATTAGAACAGCATACTCCAAGAATAAATAAATGTCAAATAGCCTGGGCTAGATCCTTGATCTTTACTGTTGGTTGGCTGATATTACATAAGGGGATGACCGATATTCAGTCCAGCAGGTGTACTCTTGTGGTTTGTCAGCACTTGAGCTCCTATCAATAATTGAATCTTGTTAGCAGGTTATTTTTTCAGATGTGTAACTGAGGATGAATGAGGAGCTGGGGCAGGCCTGGAGTGTGTGGTTGCAAATACATATGACCAGCTAATGAAAATATAAAGATGCATTTCTGCTTAATGACATTTAATGTCACATTAGAGGCAGAAATTCAATTTAGAGCTAAAATATATTTCTAGAAAAGGAAAAAGTAAAATCAATGAAGATTTATGATATCAGTCAAAATGCGGGTCTGATTATTAGCTATGGAACTCACATTATTTAAGACATAGATGTTTCACTGTATCAGTATATAAAATGTTAGTGGCTATGGATTTCTTAGTATCATAGAAACGAGAGCAGGAAGCCGTGTTATTTCATGGTGTTCATTATTCTGCCAGACAGGACTGGTTGCCACAGCCTGGTTTCCAGGGCTCTGCTCATTCCAATTTTAGGTGACTCAGACCCTAGATTGACCACTATTTTTTTTGGATTTTCCACAAGCTGAAATCTCACAGCTAAAACATTTTTCTTTAATACTGACTTTGAACTTTTGATTTCTAACTTTATCTCATTTCTTGTTCTACTGCTTTGGTTGTTCTGGTCTTCCATAAACATTTCCAAAATTAGTACTGACCATTAAGGCGTGTAGATCCATAACACGTGCATTTACTGATCAGAGCAATGACTGACCAGATGGCCATCGTTCAGTTTGCCTTGGTCTTCAGCATTAGTTACCCACTTGATTTTCGATAGTCAACACTTATCTGGGAGTAATTTTTCTAACACATATTTTTACTTTTCTAGAAATGTAAATTGGGTGTCAAAAAGAAGGAACTTTTTTCTTTGTCAATGACATGACAAAGAAAATTCCATAAGCATTCGTTTGCTTCTTTGGCACATAATGGCACAGTGTCAAGAAATTTCTGTTTTCCCTCATTCCTGTTAGGTTCCTGCTACCCCGTGGGTCTCCAGCACTCCTCTCTCACTGGGACATAACTTATTTTCAGTGACAAGCACAGCTCTGCCCTCTACCCAGTCAACCCCTAGCAAGTGTCACTAAATTGAGGTTTCCTGACCTGCTCCCTCAGAGAGTCACAGATCAGTAGCAGCCGCATCACCTTAAATTAGGGAGACTGACTATGGGATTGCCCTGGTCCAGAGAGACGTATTATTGTCACCTGATGTTTCTATGTCAACTGCTCATTCCATGGTCAGAAACACGAAAGGACAGCATCTCTGAACAAATTATCTTTGAATTTCACTGTCACAGTTCTCTTTTAGTAAACTGCCTTACAAGTCCCTTATTGTGATACACATTTTAAGTAAAATATTAATTCTGTCTGGGTAATTTTAGGGAACACGGTGATTTTCAAAAGTTAGGCTAATTCATTTCATATGCCAATATGATGTTTATTGGGCTTGCAGAAAGGTGAACTGAGAAATGTGTCTAGGAAGAACACTTTGCATGTTGATTAACTGAGCTTTAACTTAACATGTTGATTTGTCTATATTGGATGACCATTCTTCTTAAGTGAAGTGAAAGTCTGTGCCTACCATGTGTGCCAAAACATTGACTGAGTCTAGAATGCCTCAGACTTTCTAGAATGTCTGGTTAAGCAGTGGCTATCAGTTTTGTTTAATTTCCATTCTCTTACAAACTCATACTTTTATAAAATACATTAAAAATGAAATATTACAAAAGCAAAATATAATCAAAGACATAAAAGGTTATGTTAGATTCAGCAGACATAAAAATGTTCTGTCATGTTACTCTAAAAGTTTCTAAATATTCACTTTGAATTCTATGCATATTTCATCACAGGCCATTCATAAACAATTCTGAACTGTTACCAGTCCCCTAGGACATACTCTGAGTAACATTAGTCTACATTAACACTACTGTGAGCTGCATATATGTGGGGTAATTAGCATATTTGTTATAATCAAATACATTAAAGTGTATTGCCTTAAGTCCTTTAAGAAACAATAAGGAATTTGTTTCAACAACTTTTTTAGGTGAGTGTAAAATAAGATGTTGATGAATTTACTTCCCATCTAAACAGTAGTCCCCGTTTGTTTTTAGGCTGATACTTTTACAAAGGAGGCCACTATTAATTTCTTTGCTATAGATCTTTTATGCTACAGAAGAATATGCTTTATGTCAATTGCTCATTGAGGTATAAGCAAGCCATTGGTTCTGAACCTTGCACACTCTCATTTTTCAAATACTATTATGGTACTTTACTAAGCAAATCAGTGTCACATTCCTACATGATGAAACTCAGCCCATTATTAATCATCTTAAATGTGACTTGGGGCCTTATTTTCTTCTGAATGTTGTCAGTGGAGTAAGGTAGGCTTCTGCTGTTTTCTTTCAGCGGATTCAAGGTCGAAAAGCCAGCCTGGAGGAAATACAGCTCGTTCATTCTGAACATCACTCACTATTGTATGGCACCAACCCCCTGGACGGACAGAAGCTGGACCCCAGGACACTCCTAGGTCTGTATGGGCCTCCGTTCTACTGAGAACAGCACATTCCAGCACTGTCATTAGTCAAGGCTGGTGTCAGTTCAGAATACTTGGCAAGCAGTGCGACAGAAAAAATCAGCTTTTCCATCAGCATTGCTCAGTGGAATGAGCCGTTTACAATAGAGGCCAATGTAGATTAAGAAAATCTTGCATTAGAAAAATGGCCATGCAAGTACCATGATGTTTACTTTTGAATTCATCTTTATTTGAATAGCATTTCTTCACTGTGTTTTGGCATACAGGAATAAATGCATGGTTGAGTTCGTTTGCTTCCATTTTTAAACTAAAGAAGAAAGCTTTTTACATTCCTCATGCAAATTTGTCTTCACCTTTTGCATTTGTTTTGTGTCCTTCGGTTCTTTCCTCCCTTGACTTTAACACGTAGAGGGTGTAGCACAGCTTGCTTTCACTGGAAACTCCTCATCCTTGTGCCTGGAAGACCGCATGTTATATTGAGATGGCATTTTAAACCTTAATGTAATCTTCTTAATGTCTTCACTGTGGAATTAATCAGTAAAGTAGATGGCAGAAGTAGAAAACTAATAAACATAATTGTTAGTTAATGTAACATTTCTCAAACCTTTGCCATCAGATTTTAAAATAAAATGAATGTTGCACAGGTTTATATAAACTTTATATGAGAGCTAGAAATAACAGACTTGGAAAAAGTTCATTCCAAAACCTTAGTTCAGTTAAAACAATTCCATTAAGTTTATTAATAATCCTTTATAAAATGGAATAACAATATACAACAGGGCAATACATGCCAAACGGATATTTTAAAAAACGATTCCAACCTTAAAAAAGGCATCTTAGAGCTTTTTCTTGTCTCCTTGTTTCAACAAAACCTATTGCATCAGTTCTAAACCATTGGACTCTCTCACCTAATTCAATAGTTTTTCATAATGATTTTGTTATTTTGTTATGAACAATTCAAAAGCAAGTATGTGACATGCGGTAGGCAGGCATCTTGGAAAAAATAATAAGGGGAAGTTAACAGTTACCCATTACAATACTGACACTCTGCCTTTGTAAGAGGAGCGGCAGCCCCTCTAAATTTGTGAGGTAAAGGCATGTGGGCGCGCACACTCGCATGCGGGGAGGTAGTGGAGGCTTGAGAAGAAACTGACAGAGAGGGCAACGCACGGAGATTAACTCACTTTTCAGAAAACAGTGTTAACATTAGATGATAAAAACATTTTTTGTAGAATTAAATCTATATATTCATACAAAGACAAATAAGTCAATCTAAACATATACACTCTATATTTTTTTCTTTTTGTTCAAAGAAGGAAGCTGTACCCGTAGACATGCTTTACATAAAGTACTTTATTTGCTGTGGATACTGTATGATAAATGCGCTTATTTATACATGGATTAATAATCTCATAGAATTTACCCAAAGATAAAGTAAGCTTAACTTTCATGTTTTTATGAGGTCAAAATACACACACACTTGAAGAGAGGAAGCAATGTTCATTTGACTATTTTTTGATTTAAGGAAGAGAAAGCAAGTAGCAACTTTCCCCATTTTATTTTATTTATTTATTTTTTTTACTATGGTCTTTTAAAAAATATACTTTATTTATTTTTAGAGATCAGGGAAAGGAGAGAGAAAGAGAGGGGGAGAAACATCAGTGTGTGGTTGCCTCTCATGTGGCCCCCACTGGGGACCTGGCCCACAACCAAGGCATGTGCCCTGACTGGGAATCAAACCAGCAATGCTTTGGTTTGCAGCCTGCACTCAATCCACTGAGCTACACCAGCCAGGGCCTTACTATGGTCTTAAACTATAGATCAGCCTGGACAAAAAACTAGATATTTTGGACTTAACTGGGAAAAACTTAAGTGCAGATGTTTGAAAGATGTTCCAAAACAACCATTTTCTACACTTAAGAGGAAAGATACGTTTGTAAAAGAAATAAAGGTTAAAGTTTGATGACTTGGAACTGTTACTTATGAAACATGGCAGTGCCACTGTTTTGAAAAATGAAAATTGACATTTGCACACAAAGATTTTCTCAAAATATCCAACATAAATATCATTTAAAATTTTGATAATTCAAAATTAATCCCAATGTGTAATCTAGACCTTGGACAATTCTCCTTATGTATGTATGCAGTGAAAACACCACGAACCAATAATTTAATTTTTAAAGTTTAAATCCAAATAAATTGGCCACTTATCTCATTAGTTTTTGGTATTTCATGTGGGATAATATTTATACAATTGATGATTTTAGAGGTTACATAGGCACCTCTCAGGGAGCAGTGCAATAATTTCAATATTATGGACAGGCTATATGGGTAAATTTGAACAAGGATATTGTGTTGTTCAATCTTGATGTCAAGTTCAAAATTCAACTTTGATAACCACTTCTAACTACTTCACTTTCTCTCACGAATCCGGAAAGAACAAAGTGTCCTCAGTTTTAGATCTAAGTGAAATAATTCCATCCTTTTTAAAGTTTAACTTTTTGAACTTTTTTGTTCTTTATATAATTTGAATTCTTGTGGCTTGTTTTTTATTTATATCTAAAAGACAAGATTGAAGCTCCCACATGTAAATGTACAGAAATGTATAAACAGCAAGATATTACTCTTTCTGTTTCCCCTTTTTTCACTTGCGTACGTCTCTCTTCTTCCCCTATTTCCTCCTACACAGATTGGTGGTCAGTAGGGGCACATCGAATTTAAATTCATTCATTGTATGAAATTCTGAGCTGAATTGGTAGTAGTCCTCTTGATAGTTATGTCCTGGAGTGTGGGGGAAGGATTTAAATACGAGCTCATTATGACCAAACCTATAAGTCTTTGTATCTTGAAAGATAGCTATCGCTTATAAAATAATAAGATTTGAAAATGTACACCACTCATCTTTTTAAATACTCTAGATCCTGTAAGGTGACACTTTAAAAACATTCTCTCCAATCATTTTTGGTGCAAGGTTTGCCTTAGCATTAATATTCCTGTCATTCTTACTACCAGTTTTCATGATCGTATGGCTAGCCAGATCTCACTTCCTGGATAAGGCAATATTGTGTTACTTTTTAAAATTGCAGTCAGTTCAGTAATTAAAATAGTATACACACTACTAAATTTAAGTTATTGATTATTTGTCTTTGTATTATGTAAACATTACTAAATACAATTTTTATGGGACATATCTTTTTCTTATTCACTTAGAGTTTAAAATCTTTTTTAAAAATTACTTTATTGCATTGTAATATTAACTTTATTCCTTTTCATTATGGAATGAAAAGTTCAGACATTAAAATATATAATATTATAGATTTTAATTTCACACGTGACATATGAATACACCCTTGCAAAATATTCAGTAATGTAGAAATATCTTTGTTATGAGCAACAACTTAAGAAAACTTTACCCCTCCCCAAACTGTCCATAATTTCTTTTATGTATCTTTGACGGATGTCAGTGTGTCAGGTTTAATATTTTTTCATGACTTGTTTCTTGATATTCTTTTTTATAAGATCCTTATATATAATGAGATATACTATTTTTTTCATTTGCACTTAGATTTTTATTTATCACTTTCCATCTGTTAGCAACTACATTTAAAAAATTAACTCATACGATTTATTATTTTCAAAACTGAGATATTTTCTGTGACATTAAAATCTAATTGGTCTTTTATCGATGCGGCATGTGAATTCTACCACCTACCTGTTTTCAATTTTCATTACTATTTCATTGATCATCAATAGAACAAATGGATTGGGAAAGGTGAAATGGAGGCTTGTACCTGCTTCTACCACTAATCTCCTGAGTGACCCACTGGAGCTATTTCAGAGCCTTTTGACTACATTATAGAAACACCCACTGCCTTCCCTTTTAAAAATTACTTTACAAGGCAGATTGTGGTCTAAGAAGTTTTAGGAGTAGTTATTCTAGTTTCCTCTACTCATATGGTAGATAACGTAGAAAACAAAAGTGCAGATAAACAAAATGATTAAAATTCCAAAATGATTAAAAATGGGACAATCATAAGTAAGATTTGGGCATATATTTTAAAAAAGATATATAGATCTGCAAATAGTATTATCCTCTTTGTACTGTATTTTTGACTTGTTTGTTTAAAAAGTTGTAAATATTGGAGGGGCTGAGTATACTTAGTCTTAGTTATATCCAAAGTAGAAATTAAAAATAAATCTGTATATTTGAATAGATATTCTAATATTTGGAACATTTAAAAAATGGCAATGTATTTCACAAATCTTATATTTTAAAACCATATTAGAGGGATATAGTCAGTGAATAGCTGAGTTATGATACAATATAAATTTTAAAGACATCGCAATGTACTATACAGTGTGCAGGGCAGTTAAAACAAATCTTAAAGCTCAAGTGTCATAGGTATTTGTTCATAAGGGGCAATAGAGCATATCTGTGTAATACTTCTATTCATTTGCCATTAGCTTCTACCTGTCTAAAATTAGACCACTTTCCTCATGAGTTAAATGATAAATACCATGTGACATAATACCTGCTAAACATTTACCAAAAAACCCCCTGTAAATTAGTTTTTAGGAATATTAAATTTTAAAATGTTAAGAACTACATTTCCAACTTATATATATATTTTCAATATATTTTCATGTCTTCTTACTGTGTAGGTGACACTTCTGAAAAGTTTTTTTCTTCATTACCTTGTGGTGGACTTGGGGTAAGTATGAGTTTGTTTACTGCTCTTAAATAACAAACTTCTAAAAAGATCTCCTTTGATTTCTTTATTTAATTATGTTGAAGGCTGTTTCTCAGTAAAAGTTACACTAGTCTGCAGGACTGGCTGCATAATGTGTAGGGCGCAATGCCAAATGAAAATGAAGATTTCCTTGTTCAAAACCTAAGAATTTCAAGATGGCAACAACAGTGAATTAAGCCAAGTGTGGAGCCCATCTAAAGTAGAACCCAGTGTGACTGCGTAGGGCACATGCTCACAAAGCTGGCTTTGCTAGATCTTTGTATACCTGGAGAAAAGGTAATATGAGAGGATCTAACCCAGTTTTGTAGTGGGATTCAATCTGCAGTACAGCCACCCCGAGTGTGCACATACATCATAATCCTGATGAAAATCACAGAAACTTCACAAAGCGCTTTGCATTGTGGGACATTTTGTTTGTGAACCTCTTGGGGCTATTTTTGTCTTCCATAATTAACAAAGTCTTTTTGACCCAGGATATTTATACCACATTGCAAAGACATATTTGTTCGAATCCAGCGACATATGTAGAAAAATATCTACATTTTTGTGGATGATTAGAATGTATCTTATAGCCTGCAATCTATTTAAAGTTAACCCTTACCAATAATGAACTATCATCCTGTAGAACTAAATGCTAAGTCATGTTAGGACAACATAATTCTAGGTCAGGTTTCCAAGGACTAAGAAATTTAAGTCACTTAGGTTTTTTAGATATTGAAGGAAAAAAACAAAACTAGTCCTATGAATGACTTGTATTAGGCAATATTTTACTACAACTAAATTTTGTGTAGGGAATCCCCGTATGTTTTCCGCTAACTCTTTCATTCTAGTGATGTTAGATTCATAAAGGATAATCTTTCTATTCATTTCCCTGTGATTCTGCCCTCTAGAAATAAGAATGGCAGCTACAACTGACATCTATTTGGACTTTACCAACATACATCAGAGGTTCATGACAACTTGGTAAAAATAGTCATTGTTATTAACACCATTTGGCAGATGAGAACCTGAAGTCTCAGAGAAGTGAGGTTGTTGTTCTGAAGACACACAGTAAAGGGTAAAAGGCTGAAAGTATGGGGCGGAGGGACATGTCCATGTGGACAAGATCCAAAAGAGCGTTTCAGGTCCTTCTACAGATTTCATCTTTAACAGGCTAGCCACAGGCCCTGGGGCCCGGCAGGGCAGCCACATGGCTGATGCAGGGTAGTCCCCTTTGTGGAACCACACCAGTGAGCTTGCTTTGTGATCCCCAGCATAGGAAAATCACCACCTTATATTAATCCTTGCTAATTTTAGCAAACTTCTTGTGAAGCCAGGAGCTTGCAAAATTACTCTAGGAAGCAGAAGACAAACTGATTTTTCAAATGGGTATCACTGGCTCTGATGTTATTGTCTAACATCCCAAGTGGCCATTTTAAGAGAATGGCTGATTACCTGCAAATGAGGCAAAGAATGAACCAAATCTAAGGACAACGTAGTGGGTTTGGTGATGGGGAGGAAATGAAAATTGTTGAAAGAGTGGTGGTCATCAAAACCCCATCATTTACAAGTACATTTATTTCATAACCTGGAGCTGAAATGAGAACAGCTCCCTGGCACCCATCTGCCAAGTCTATTCCTTGAACTCAAAGTACCTACACTCAACCGCTCTAAAACCATAACAAGGTAGTTTCTAATCTTTAGTTAGAACTACTCTAATAAACTCTTATGTGTGCCCAATGAATGACTAGTGTCTACTACTTCTGCTACAGTGGGTGTCCTCAACAACGTCATCAGACACTGACCTGACCCAGATGGCGGCAGTGGTGGATAATGTAGCTTAGGCAGGAAGAGGCAGGAGGAGGAAGACTGAGTAGCTTGACTTCATCAATATAGGAAAAGGCTGGAGAGAGGTACCTCTATTTATCCAATTGGCCTATGTAGGTCTTAAGATGGTATTTTTGTAGGTCTAGATGGCTGAGTGTGTGTGTACACAGCTTGTCCTATTGATGCTCTAGAGAACTAGTTTGATTCAGTCCTTTTGTTGGTTGCAGGAATGAAATTGTGTTCTTAGACATTAAGGTACCATTTTGCTCCCTAAGATCTTCAGTTTTGATATAAGTCCTAAGAGAAACTATGGGTCCTTTGGATTTGCATTAGTCTCAGTTTTTTCCTCGAGGACAGTTCTAGACATACTAAGTATATGAAAGATACTCAGTGTGAACTTTGAGTGGCCCATCTTGGCAACATAGGGGTACCCTAGTGAGCTTGGAAACCATTGAAATTGCTTTTGTTTTAGGTCATTCTTCTGGTTCAAAGTATCTAAGGTAGACCTTTTGGTTTAAATTCTAAATACTTAACGATCCCCAGTTGTTAAAAGAAATTCAAGTTACCTAGAATATATGAGGTCTGTCCGGAAAAAGTCCAGCCATTGTTAATATATTGAGAATGGTTTATGCAACATTGATATAACTTGGCAGCCAAGGAGAGTGGACTGGAATAAGTATCTGTGAACAATGACAACTTCACTGTACTTGTCAGTGTGGGTGGTAGATGGCATTGAGTGAGCGTGTGTACCGTGTGACCATCCCATTCAAAATGAGTGAGTAGAGCAATGAATCTGCATCAGATTTTGTGCTAAGCTTGAACATTCCCCTGTGAAAACTATTTGGATGATTCAGAAGGCTGCAACTATGGGCAGCTGGTGATTGGCATCTTCATCATGACAACGCACTTGCTCATGCATCACATCCTGTGCAGAGTTTTTTGGCAGAACATCAAATCATCAGGTGACTCCCCCTCTTACAGCCCAGATTCGATGCCCTGTGACTTCTGGCTTTTCCCCAAACTAAAATCACCTTTGAAAAGGAAGAGATGTCAGACCATTGATAAGACTGATAAAAATACAATGGGGCAGCTGATGGCAGTTGGGAGAACTGTGTGAGGTCCCAAGGCGCCTACTCTGAAGGGGACTGAAGCATCATTGTCCTATATACAATGTTTCTTGTATCTTCTTCAGTAAATGTCTCTATTTTTCATAGTACATGGCTGGATACCTTCTGGACAGACCTCGTATACCTTCCTACTAGATGGGTTTATTATATACCTACTGAATGCTGGTGATTGATTGGCTTTTGAGGAGACTACCTGGGACATTATGAAATCAGAAATCTCCCCCTACAATTCCATGTGATAATTCAACAGTGTTGTTCAGGTAACTCAGTGGGTGAGTGGTATTTAAAGTGCTTTATAAAGCATGCTCTCCTGAGTTGCATTTTGAGCAACAGTCTCAAGGTTTCTGAATTCCTTTGTGTTTGGTTTTCATTTTGTTTAGTTACTATGGCATGACTCATTTCTGATTACTGTGTGATTGCACTGCAAGAAAATGCACCAGTAGAAAAGAGCATTTTACCAAATCCCAGGACTTGGTCATTGTATAGCGAAATGGATAATTAAGGGACTCGGGAAACAAGAGCCAGTGCGGGACCACTTTAGTTCTCACTCCTCAGGGTATATCACTAAAAATAGTGATCATTTTCTTGGCCATCTGACCTGCTGCTGTGTGAAGAAATCTTGAAGTCATTTCTCAGCATTATTTCCCCCCTTCACTTGATAGGCCACAAAAAAAAAAAAAAGAAAGAAAGAAAGAAAAGGAAAAACCCCCACAAAAGCAAGGACGAGCAGGCTTTTATGATAATGTCGTCATCAGCTCCCAGCTTCAAACGCTTCTGCGGCTTTTGAGTTGTCATTTATAACTTGGAACTGAATCGACCCATAATTCCCCTGATACACTTAGAGAAATTGATAACAGACTCTGTACTTCTTTTATGGCTCGGAGGAGGCAACTCCAATCACATCACTATTGGCAGGCAATATTATTTTTTGACATGGTTGTAAAAGTATAAAGGGGCTTATGGCATTTGTTTAGATGAGGAATGGGCTCTCAAGCTGTGCTGGGGTTTACAGGCCCAGATTAGTGAGAAGCGAAGGGAATATGATGTTTGCAAACAGGATATGATTTTATATATAAGTTTGGGTTTCAGGCTCTGGTCCCTGGGGAAAGCCTTGCAGACAGCAGAGAATTCCACTTTTATCCTACAACAGGCAAGCTCCCAGTGCCAAAAGGCAGAGAAAGAAGCGTGGTCAGTGGGCAGTGTCAGAGCCTTGATTGGAGGAGGAGGAGGAACTGTGGAAGAGGCAGAACAATTCCCTGGGAGGAATGAGGAATTGCAGAGCCTGGGCAGAATCTGGGCCAGCCTAACCGGTCAAAGATGTGCCAAAAATGAGGCTCCATGAGCTTAATCAAGGCACTTTCTCCAGCAGCAGCTCGGTCAGTCTGTGCACAGGAAGCCGGCTTTCCATTGCAAACTTTTACTCTGTCCATATTCCATTTGATTACACCTAGCTCTGACACACCGTGGGGGTAAGGGATGTCATTTTTGTGATGTGGGGAAGGGGAGATGGGGAGGAGAATTAGGTGATTGTGGGGAGGTAATTTAAGGCCCATTCCAATTGCTCTGAGGTTTCCAGCAGACATTTCAGTTATACACTAACTACAGGCACTATACAGGAGGCAGGTTTGGGTGGAATGTCTAAAATTTTTTCATTCTGTCAGGTTTAAAATATAAGCTCTCCCATCCGATATAGAAAACTGACATATGCATAAGTGTTATATATGTACATATATATTCAAAAGAAAATCCTGTTATTTTACACTACACTTATACCTTCATATTATTTTTTCATTCACCACATTAGTCCTTCATATTTAATCTCTCCAATAATAGTAAAAAAGGGTTCCAGTGACTAGCATTTCCAAGAACTGCTTCGGCTTTCTCTATGGTGTTATAATATGAGGAAATGATTTATTTTATTTTATCACCAACTCTACGGTTACATAGTTAAAAATCAACGTCACCCATTGGGTTGGTTACAACACACATTTCCCCAGCTATTTAGAGTGATTTTCGTTGAAACCAAAG